ACTTCTAAATTAGAATGACTTTTTTTCCTTCTAAGATTTTTTTTTAAGGCACTCTTTCATTCTGTCCCAGCTTTAAGTGCTGCTTTTTAAGAAGTCCAATGACTTTCTGATTCCCAGTCCTTTGCATGTGACCTTTCTTTTCTTCTTTGTTCCAGTATCTTATCTCTATCCCTGGCATTCCTACACTTCATGATCACATGCCCGTATGTGAGACTATTTTTATTCCTTGCACTGGGTCCTTGGCAAGTCCTTCCCATTTGGAGATTCAGGTCCTTCAGTTCTGGGAAATTAATCTGTGTTGTTTGATAGCTTCCTCTCTTCTGTCTTCTGGAACTCCCATGAATCAGATGTTGTACGTCCTAGACCAAGTCTCTAATTTTCTTATTTTATCCCCTGCTGTCCAATTCACTGTACGTGTGTTACACTTTCTGGAAGATTTTCTTGACTTTATCTTCTAACTCTCTTGGATTTTTTTTTTTTTTTTTGCTATCATAATTTTAATTTCTGAGAGCTTTTTGTTCTGAATCTTTATTTTTAAAAAGTAGTACCATGTTCTTATCTCAAAGATGCATCTACCTTCTCTTATCTGAGGATATTTATAAAAACTTTTAATTTTTAAAGTATTCTTTTACTCTGTGCATTATCTGTTACTTCTTATTTCTTTTTAGTCTTTTTATTTTGGGCCCTGTCCATTATGTTGAAGCACTTCCTCAAATGTCTACCGATTTTTGGCCATTGGTTTATATTTTCAAGTAAGATACTAAAATGCTGATTAAAAGTTCTATGTAGGTATCCAGGGCTTGTTGACTGATGGCCTGCATTCTAGGACAATCAGGTAGCCAGGCAGTTTTGTTTTTTTTTTTATAGAGACAACCCCCAAGTGTCAGTAACTAAAGTTCTTCCCTCCAGGGACATGTAATCTCCAAACAAATTCCTGCAGATTCCTGCTTGGCAGAGGAGAGGAAGAGGAGAAATGGCTAAAATAGGTCACCTGAGCTCCTCAAACAGGGTGGAGAAAAGCACTGGGCAGGCCCTAGAGTCTATATGCAGACACTGTTTGACACCAGTGCCTTTTCTCTGCCTGGGGTTCCCAAGGGGAGTGTGTCACCAGTTGAATTTCTCCCAAAACTACAGATTCCTATTAGAGTGGGGCAGCTGCAGAGGGTCAGGGAGAGGACCTTAAGTCTATCTGCTCCTCATCCAGACTCTGAATTAACCCCTTGTTTCCACCTCCCCCTGGCCTTTGCAAAACCTAAGGATCCCATATTCGGACCCTTTCTGAGGCTATGCAGGGCATGACATCTCATCTCTCACTAATGGCTCTTTCTGCAGGCTTTCTGTCCCTTTATAGTTAACTCCGCTCTGCTAAGTCAGCCCTCCTCCATCTACCATCTCTCATGCACTCTGGTCTCCCATTCTCATGCAGGTTTTATAACTATTAGATTCTTTTACTATAATTTTAGTGGGGTTTCTTTGGGGTGGCAAGAGACAGATTAAAATGCACACGTTCAAGCCTCTTTAACTGTCTTTAGCTCCCCTTCTTCATTGGTTCCTCATCAGTATTTTTAAAAACTTTATTTTATTGCAGTAAGAACACTTCCCATGAGATCTACCTTCGTTACACATTTTTTTAGTGTATAATATTTTACTGTTGACTATAAGTCATAAGTATTTAAGCCTTCTTAAATCTCTCCAATATTAAGGAAAACAGGACTAATAAAAATGTTCCCCCTGATTCCATGTCTCCTTTCATCTCCTGCATTCTCTCTTCCTTCATAGCCAACCTTCTTAAAACAGTTGCCCACACTCTCTCACCTCTTCTGCAACTTCCTTGTATTTCTCAATCTACTATCCACCTACTTTCTACTCCTATCACTCCACTGAAGCTGTTCTTTCAAAGCATACTCCTGTTGATAAATCCAACGGCCACTTCCTGGTCCTCACCTTACTTGACCTCTCAGTAACATTCGAAACCATACTCCCTCCTTCTCAAAACACTCTCTTCTTTGGACTTTCTCACACTGTACTCTCCTCACCTCTTCCTACCTCCCTGCAAATGGGATTATATGGTACAGACTATACTTGCCACGCCAGGCTCACCTCTTGCCATGCCATATTCAAGTTCTATGCTACCATGCATGGAACTTCCTTCAGTTCATAGAGCTGTCCTGTTTCTCCTCTGGTCTTTGTGCATCCTATTCACTTTTATTTCGCCAATTTTGCAAATTCTGTCTATCTGTGTTGGCTGGCCCTCCTATGTGCTTCTCAAGCACATATTCTGTATTCTCACCACCAGTATGTTCATTAAAAGGTACTGCAAGTGCCTGCTTACTTGTCCATGCATCATGAGGACAAGACCCATGTCTATTTTTTATCTTGTTCAAAGGTGCGTCACGTCAGAGCTTGTACGATGGCTAGTACATGGTAGGCATCCAATAAGTGTCAGCTGAGTGAATAAAGACACAACTGAGAGAGGGAGAATCAAATGCCTACAGAAGACACCCATTATAATGGGCCAGCAGAGCAAATGAATATGATCTCCAAAAAAAGACTTTACATTATAACCTAAATTCTTTTGGTTGCCTTTTTCTATCTTCTTATCAGCGTATTTGACAAATGGTCACCATTTTTTTGTACAAAAACAACCAAATGCTGAGTCAGAATATCATAGCACCAATACACCATCTAAGGGCTTAGAAAAGGGCAACTGACTAAAAGTTTCAATACATTTACATAGGTAAATCACAGGGTTTTGAAGTGCTATGGGAATGGCAATGTTTTATTCTGGTAGTTTGGGTATAATTTTGCTCACATACTAAAATAGGTCTTTTTTTTCTTTTCTAAAGATTTTATTTATTTGTCAGAGGGAGAGCGAGAGAGGGAATGGCAGGCAGAGGGAGAAGCAGATTCCCTGCTGAGCAAGGAGCCCGATGTGGGACTTGATCCTACGACTCTGGGATCGTGATCTAAGCCAAAAGCAGATGATTAACCGACTGAGCCACCCAGGCACCCCAAAATAGGTCTTTTAAAGACAGAAACATTTTAGAAGAGGTAGATTAGCTCTGTCAAGAGAATAAGCCCTTAGGCTCCTTAAATCATGAGTGTGGTAGGCTCTGAAGAGAAAAAACAAATCCCAGCTCATGCAAAACTGATTTCTAGACTTTGACTGTAATTAATATAAGCCAAGCTCTCAATGCTCAAATGTCCCCACACACCTTCACTGTTTTACTACTATGCTTATCACTGGGCAAGCACATTCTTCTCTGGTATACAGCAAGAAGTCTTTCAAAGTACGCTGACATTTTAGTTGTTTTGAACTGTCTCTAATATTTGACCACACTTACCCACAATTGAAGAGCCTATTTATGGAAAACATGCCTATCTGCAAATAGATCTATTTCCAAATGTGAACTATAATAAATACTTTGCTGGATACTATATTCTCAGCTGGAAAAACCTAGAAAGAATTCAGAGGTTACATGTAGTCTCTTGATAATGAACTACCATGTGGGGAAAAAAAAGTTTTGAGCTCAGAAGGAAAAAAGGAGGTACTGTGATGAATTGTTTTCCATTTCACTTGTCTGAGTAGATATTACTCTATTTCTACTATATCCGCATCTCTGCCCAAAAAAGAACTCCCACATTTGTAATTGAAAAATTGTCTCTCCCCAAACACAAATGATTTCTCCACAGATAGATAGTCTAAGCCAGAGGGAGGGAGGGGCAGACACCCCTTTATCTGTCTTTCCCCCAGAAAGACTCAAGAGTAAATCAAAGGTGACCCTGGATGGAGTTTGCAGGGATGGGAGTCCTCCACAACAAAAAGCACAAGTAAGCAAAAAGTTCCAAGATAGAGACATTGCCCCAATATAACCAAAGCTCTGGGTATGGCAGACACATCGGAGGCACTGCCCATAACCTTCAACTCTGGGCAGAGACTCTGAGAAAGGTAAATGTGCCTCTGCAAGCCTGCCAATGGTCAAATCAACCAGCTTTCGCTTGTATTTAAGAGTCAGAGAGTATGGAAGTCACCCGTGACAGTCCCTCCTCCTCCCTCCTGATCACCACCATCTATACACATTCCCTCCAAGGATGGCAGGAAATCCCACACCCAGTCAATGCTATATGTCCCGGACAGACTATGGTTTATTTATCACCTCAAATATTCACATTGTTCCTTCCATCCTCTTCTTCAAAATCCAGCCAACCATATGAAATTATATGATAGCAATCTTGCTGATGAGTACAACGGACCTAGTCATTCCTTGGATTTAAGTGAAAATGAGCAGATAAATGAATAGTTAACTCAAGCCTATTGTGGTTGACTTTTTCTCTCCATTACTAACCACTTAGTTTTCAATAATCACAATCATTATTGATCTGACACTGTAACATCATGCGTCATATGCTGTTTCCTGTGGCTAGACTCCTCCTCCTCCTTCATTTATCTGCCTAACTCCTCTGTGACTTCTCAGATAACTCAGACACCACCTCTTCCAACAAGCTTTCCAATCGTACTCATACCTCAATTTCTCACAATAATCCTTCTCTTACAGAAGTAGGTGTCCCTCCTCTGGATTCCAAAACCATGCTTACATATCACCTTCACAGGTATAATCACACAGTACCCTACTTGTTTATAAGTAGACACTTTTATAAGACACTTCTCCCTACCGAGTTTTTACACCCCTCAAAGGCAAAGATTGTCACTCATCTTCATGTTCTAGTTCATGGCACAGTGTCTGGTATTTTGTAGACATTTTAAAATGTGTGTGAAATGAGTGAATACATGTATGAACAAACAGATGACGTTTAGGCTTAGAAACAGAATTACAGAGATGGGTCTTTAGAAGACATTTAGTTCATCCTACTTCCCTAAATTCCCTAAAAAAAGTATTTTCTAAGAGTTGTGCCAAGCCGTGAAAACAAGGAAACCAATATCTATGTCCAATAAAAGAGAAACATTTTTTAATGAAAATATGATTAAATAAAAACCTTACCGGCAGAGTTCCAGGCAGAGATGCATCAAAAAAAGATACCAAAGAATTTGGAGGTGCTGCAAAGTGGACTTGAGATCCAGAGAAGAGTTTAGAGTTGGAAGAGATCTGGGCATGAATTTCCAAACCTACCACAGCTGCCCACTCGTGTTCGCTAAAGAGAAAGAAAGAATCATTAAGAAGTAGTTAGATCCATCACTATGCATGAATTTCTACGACCCTAAACCACACGTGGTCATTTGCTATTTGTGTTTTTAACTTAAAACAGATTTTAGATTCTTACATTTAAAAATATGTCATATTGTATCAATGACTGAATCAAAAGCAATTCATGATGAACATCTACAAGACCAGCAAAATAAAATTCATTTACAACACGGTACATAGGAAGAGTTCACTGTACAAAGAGGAAGGTGATGAAGGAAAAATATGGCATCTTGAAACAATTTAGAAATGGCTATCAGATGACGTCTGCTTGGTTGACTCTAGTGAAAAGCAGTATTTTCTAGATTAACTGTCCTTTATCAATTAATAACTCAGTAAATGAAAGCTTACCTTGCAAACATTTTTAGAATTAACATAAACATCATGCTTTTATTACTAGAGAAATAATGGTGAATAGCTGTATATCTTATTTAAAAAGGAAGGGAAATTCTCTGTCATGTTTTGAACCATAACAATGGCTTGCAAGTAAAATGGTCAGAGTGACACAGATATAACAGATCATCACTAAATCATACTCTTCCTGAGATTTTGGGCAAATGAAAACATTAAACCATCAGATGTGGGTTTTTTTTTTTTTTTTTTGCCCCCAAATCACTTTCAATTCCCTATAGTTTCAGGTTCCTCTGTTTATGCTTGATTACTATCAAATCTAAGAAGTTGTTAAATCCTATAATAACCTCTCCTACTCTGTTGGATCTGTATGAACACACAGGTCTCTCTAGGTTTGTATAAGCGTGCTTATTCCTTCTGAAACCATATATCCTGGACAATGCCTGTTTACACACACTCCCTCTATACCTTGTTCCTATCCTGCTCTTCTCCCAAGCAATTTTCTGTATTATCTAGATTTTTGTTTACATGTACTGGGTTTTGTTCCAATTATTTCAACACAGGAAGTTCTATATCTATAGTACTGTGAGAAGATTAATTCCTTTTTAAAGTTTGGAAGCACCGCCGGCAATTGAGAGGAAATAAATGAAAAACTCATCAGAAATTCTGCATTCACTAAAACATCACTCAAAACTATTTTTGCAGTTTCGTTACATGAGAGAAAAAAATACAGTCAGATGATCTAATTTATGAAAGGAATAGAAGCTGAATGCTTCTGGACATTTTCCCCTCTGTTGCTCCAACAGAAAAGCAAAAAGAATGCCAACTTAACTATCTCAAAGGCTAGTGATTAGTAAACACGTGCCTTGTTTCTGTATTTAAAAAGAAACTATATAAGTCCTATAAAGTATAAACAGCTGTTTAGAGGATATCTAACAAAATAAGCCAGACTAATCAGAGGGAAGATCTCTTGTATTGACTGCATCCTCCTAGGTCTAGAAACACGTTCAACATGAAACGCCTCCACAGACAGTGGTGTTTTCGGAGTAATGACATTAAGCCACCACCATCCTGAGCTCGTAGGTAAAGACTCCCTTTCTACTTTAAGAACACTGCTGTCCCATAGTAGCGCTAAATAAATGTCAGTTAAATAAGATCCCGCTTTCTGGTGCCACCGACCCCTTGTCCACTTTTCTGTGTGTGTAGTTTTACATTCAAGAAAAGACCTGCGATTTTACACTCGAGAATTCCCCATACATGCCTACCTATTCGAAGAGTGTTTTATGTGTGGAGGAGGAGCTGACAGAAAGCTAGTTTTGTGCTTTCATTTTAGGTTTCAGGGCTGAAAGTTATAGCCCAATCTCACTCCCCCCCTACTCCCCCTCCCCCATCAAAACGTCTAGACTGAAGCGGGGCTGTAGTGGCCATCACCTCCCCAGTCCCGCAGTTCCACCTCACGCTTAAATGGGTATTAATGGTATGAAATAGTATACCCTTTCCTTGACTTCTGGGCGGTGATGAGGGGCTGCTGAGCCACGGAGCTCTGTCCTCTTTTCCTCCTGGACGTGAACCCAATCGCAGCCCCTCTTCCGTGGCGAGAACCGCCGTCAACGTAGGTTAAAACCCAACGCTTTCCAACACAGGACCAGCGCTGCACGGGCGCCGCCATTGCCCCGCCAGGGTCCTTGTCAGGTGATACAGTCTCCTTCTTCCGCGAGGCTCTCTGGGAAGCGTAGTTCTAAAAAACGAATAAAACTTATTAGGCTCACACCGGAAGACTACTATTCCCGGTGAGCATTGCGGAACCCTGGCGGGGAGCGGAGGGAAGGAGAAATAGAGGAGAGGGTGGGAGGGCTTCTGGGTCGGGAGGTGTGACTCCTCCTAGCGGGGAGTTGGGGAGGTTTGGGCGGGGCGCGTGTGGATGAGTTTGAAAGAGAGCAGGTGGGGCGGAGATCAGATCGAAAGCTGAGAAACCTGGCCGGGATTTTATATCTCGGTTAACCCTTACAGCTGAAGTAAATGAACTTGACATCTCTGGGAAAACTTCCGAACCTCCAAGTCCACTCAGTTATTTTCTCTGTTTACTCTGCTAGTTTACACACTAATTTGTGCATTAATGCAACAAATATTTATTTGCATGCCTACTTTCTTAGGCACTGACGAGTGAGCCAGACATTTATGGCCACTATTCTCGTAGAATGTAAGCATTGTTGGGAGAGACATACAGAAAAGTTACAAAAATAGGACACGTTCATGTAGGTGGTAAGTGCTGTATTTAAGCAGAGGTACTTGGAGGCAAACAGACCTAGATTGTACCTTCAGGTACATTTTAACTTATTTTCCTTTTTGTACTTGCTCAGTATTTGACACACTTTTCCTTACATGCAAAAAAGCCTTGATAGCAGATGCCATCATCCCAACAGACTAATTTCCCGCTTTGAAACTCAAACCCTTCTGAAACTCCCATTGATGTATTTGAGCACACAATTTAGAATAGTCATTCAGCTGTTCTCTATTTTAGCACCTATTTTACTTCTCCATATTATGCTTATGACTATCTGATGTTTATCTTCTGTCTCCACAAGCTCCTTGAGAATGGGGAATTTGTCTTACTCAACCAAGTATTATCATAGTACAAAGTAAGCCCCTTAAAAATATTTGTTGGATGAAGTAGTGCAGTGTGGAGAATGTGTTTGATAAAGAACAGAGTGGACACCGTTTGGAGTAGTAGTTGCTTAGGAGGGAGATGATGAAATAGTGTGGTGGTGGAGGCAAAGAGAAATTGACCTATGTGAGATAGATTTAGGAGGTAAGACTGAAGGACTTGGTGATGGATTGAATATGGTGGTGATAGACTTGGTGGGGTCAAGTAACTCCTGAATTTCTGGCTTGTGCAAATTGATGGCTGGTGGAGTTATTCACTGAGATAAACTAGAAAAGAAATAGGTTTCAGGAAAGCATGAATTTGGTTGCCTTGGAGACACACAAGAGGAGAAGTCAAGGAGGCATCACTGATGCCTAACTTTGAGTATGGAGCACGGAAAAAGCTGCAGACTCTGTATACTTCTCATTGGTAGATTTTCAATTATTGATCAATAAATAACCTATTGATTAGACAGCTGTAACCTATGATCTATTTCCAGCAATACTCTTGTACAATTATGATATTTTATGCAGTTTAATCCCCCTATGGAGGCAATTTTACTTATTCTCCTTAAAATGTCATTATTTACTTTTTCCATCTTTTGTGTTTTTTCATCCACTGTCATTGATCCAAGTTGCTACACCAGAAGTATTTTCACATGACCACAAATGAAAACGAGAGAAATGACAGAGCCTGCAAAGTAGAGGTAGAGATTTGTTCCAAAATTCATTGCTAATTATTGACCTTTATATCAGGTTCAGATCACTCTTGAGATTCTGTATTAGTATCTCTCCTCTGAGTTTCCATATTTCCCACCTTTACTTAGCTAAGTTTGCTTTCTCTTTCTCATTGAGCTCCTCAGGTTTTTCTGGCCCAGACTGGGGGTTGGGAAAGTTTCCTCTGATCACAGCATGTTCCATCTTTGATAGGACTGTAGAGGAAAGGGGAATCCCATATCTCGGAAGTGAGCATAGGCAGGCTTTAGCCAAAAGGAGAGGGAGATCTTTGCTACCTTACCACTGGTAATCAGCATAGTCAGGAGGCATTTCACTCCCATGAAGTGTTGGGATGTTTTGAAAACCACCATGAGAGAGAGAGCAGCATACCTAACGAAAATCCTCATTTTATGGACAAAATGCACATCTTTCTTTATGAAGCGGTATTATGCGGTGATAGCATATCACTTCAAAGGCTCCTACCCTACCACTAGAGGGAGAGAAAATCCTCTGCATGTAAATGTATTTGATTCCTTTCCCAAATGGAAACCTAGCTTGATGCATATTACATAGCCCTTTCAAAATCCCACAAGAGCTAATGGCTTCCCTTCTCCCCCCAAATTATCTGTCATTTCCAGAAATGTCCATTTCCAGAAATGTCATGTCCAGAAACTCATGCATGGTCTGGTGTCTAGGAAGGCCCTGTTTTCCAAGCACTCCTCCTGCCTTGCTCCCTTAGCTAGTCAGGTGCTCCCACCCAACCTCCTACCATGGGACCATTTCTCACTTTCCTCCTGCATGCCAAATCTGATATCTGTCAGAACTCTTACTGACAGCGCTCTAGCTGAGAGAGCTATTTTGGTTCCACCAAAAAGGTGGCTGTCATCTGGAAGACACAGAGATGTTCATTTTCAAGAAGTTCAGAAGGTAGCAGGACAAGGTTTCCAGCAAAAACATTCTCTTAGGGAGAGGTTCTTATTTTATTCACATAATTGACACAGTACAAATAAATTTAGAACAAGTTTTTAAAAAGATATGTAAGCCAGAATAGAATTTCGAGTTGTTACTTATAAACAGCAATAGTTAGCAAGCATGTCTAAAATAACATGCTTAATTTTGTTAGTATTCTTCAAAGACTCTTTGAATGTCAGAGTTGAATCAGACAGACAAGCTTACCCCTGGGTTTGACTCAAAATCCCCAGGTATCTGTATAAACACATTGATTTCTGAACACAAATCATCACCCCAAATTTAAGTGGTTATTCTTTGATTAACTATTTTTTCCTGTAGAAACGAAGACAGTGCTTTAAAGATGTTTAGCAGACTAATAAACAAAATGTCCCTTGTTGTCTAATAGAGCTGGATTTGGTATCCCCCCCTTTTTAAGATTTATTTATTTACTTGCTGGGGAGGGGGTGCAGAGGGAGAGGAAGAGGATGAGAGCCCCAAGCAGACTCCCTGCTGAACATGGTGCTGGACACCGGGCTCAATCGCAGGACCCTGAGATCATGACCTGAGCCCAAATCAAGAGTCAGATGCTTAACTGACTGAGCCACCCAGGTGCCCCTGGATGTGGTATTTCTTAACACAATTGTGAGTTTAGTTCCTCTGTGGGACTATTAGTTTATATCTGTTCTATGGGTGTAATACCTAGCCTGCTGTCTTAAATTTTGTGCTATGTGTAGGGAGGAAAGATAGCTAGGTCAGTATAAATTCTCCAAAAAAAAAAAAAAAAGTCCACTTAGAATGATGTATATATGACAAAAATTGACAGCATCATTTTCATGTCAGAAGAACACTGACACTAGAGGAAGTCCCGTTTTTTAGAAAGCATTCTGAAAACATAGAGTTCCTTCTTAGAAAAGCCACATTTTAAGATCCAGTGAAGTGTCATCAGGAGAAGAAGAAAGACTGGGTATACGTGCATGCTAGGCAATTGGGAGAACAGGATTTATTTCCTTTTATTTTCCCATTAGGTCTTGATTATGATAAAATACTGATGTAGAGGGAACAATTGCTTTCTCTAGAAGATTGCTTTGAGGCAAAGAAATCTATAACTTTTTCTTCCTTTCCAAGGCAGGGAACTAGAACACCCTGTCCAATGTCTTTGTCGAGATGAAGTGCCATCTGGGGGAAGATGAGGCTCGCGCGTGGCTGCTATCAGGCTCGTCTGGTCCATAAACTGTCATCTCTCCACGTCTTTCCTTCTTTCTGGTCTCAAGGGATGGTTTGCTGGTTCCCCAGGCTTTTTCTTTTCTAGAAATCTGACTAATCCTGGAAGCAAAGAGCAATTGTGTGTAAGAAAGAAGCTCCCATCTCTACATATCCCCATGACTCACCATTTACTTGAAAGAAGATACTCCTGAGTCACAAGTAGTGGGTAGTTGAACATGTGAAGCTCTGTGTCCCTGTAAGCTGTTTAGCATGTGGTCAGATTCCTGCTGTGCACTAAGAAGCTCTCTCTTTTATGTTTTGGAATTGGGTATTTACCCATCAGAGTTACAGAGCTTGTATGTACACACACACACACACACACATGCACGCTTCTAAGTAGTATCTTACTTCCAGATCAAGCACATATAATGACCAACAACTGTTAAGTTTCAAAACAGATGATTTTTTTTTTTTGTACATCAGCCGGTTCTCTTGATTTTAAGACTAAAGATTTTAAGGAGTAAAAGATTGGATGTTAAAAAACTACTCCACCAAGACACATGAGCTTTGATGACACTTTTCCCACAGTTGAATGAAACCCTACTTGCTACTTGAAGGGAAGATGTATCAGACTCCACCAGGGTGGTACAGAAGAAAACAGAAAGGCTTATCTTACACATGCTACCAGGTAATCGGTGTCATTACCTGTGCATATCTGAACTGGGATCTCTATATCTAGGCTGCCCTTGAACCAAGAATGGATGGGCTGCACAAAGCAATAAAGGCTGAGATCTTGTTGGTGGCAGAGCCTTCGGGGCTCACCACAGTTTAATGTATGGCCATTGAGAGGAGATTTTGTGCTCCATGAAGAGGTGCCAGATTGAATGAAAATCAGGCAGCTCAATTCAAACACATTAGCAATCAAATTATACAACTACTGAGATAAATGCAAAGAGAGACAGAAAAAAATACCAGTGATTCATGAATACTAATCAAAGAGGGAAAAGCCAGCATAGGCATTGTTCTTGTCTCCTTGGAGTCTGACTCTAGGTTCTAATTCACCAGTAAGATTTGATAACTTGACCCAACAGTGATTTCAAGTTGATGTTGATTCCACACTTAGACTAGCTTTGCTACTAAAAGGCATTTTACCCCCTCTCACATGTAGTAAGAGGGAAAAGAAATGATGCCAAG